GGCATCTTGAACTTGATCATCTGTTGGAAATTAATATTAAATTTATCCATAACTATATAATTGATTCAGCTGAATCATTAAGTTTTAGACGTGTGAATGATGAAGTGCGAGAAAAATATTTAAAACTGTTTAATGATGGACATTCCCCCGCATCAGCACTTTACTCTTATGAAGATGAGCTTCACCTTCGTGCCGTAAATGATAGTGATTTACTTGAATTACTTGCAGACCGATCTACCAATCTAGACTATAATTATGTCTCTAAATTATTTTATCACTATCGCAAAACTGCATTAGGAGATCGTAATGGTGTAGAAATGTTCAATCATCTAAAAGAATTAATTAATGAGTACAATAATTCAGGAAATGGTAAAGTGGTATTACAAGAATACAATGCATATACCGGAAAAGCATTTATTCTTTGTATGTAACTGGGCTAATGTGCTGAGCACATGAAAAGATTCAACAAGCGGGCAAATTATGCTACATTGATTCGTCTGCCTCATTTGATCCACTTAATACCTCTGTTACCTTACTTTACACAAGTTGCACTATTGGTGCCCTTCCTCTTGGATTACTAGTAACTTCTGATGAATCTAAAGTTACTTTAGAGAAGGCGGTAATTAATAATCTTTGCCTTTTTTCAATAAATTCATTTAAAATTGACTAATAAATAATTAATTTTAGTTAAACTTACTAAAAACGATCCTTCTACCATATGCATTCTATGGACGTGGACCGGAAATAGGACCAGCAGTTATACTCACTGATGATTCAAGTACTGAACGCAATGCGTTAGAACTGTGCTGGCCGCAAGGAATTCGTTTATTATGCACTTTTCATGTCTTGCAAGCTTTTTGGAGATGGGTTCATGATTCAAAACATCACATTATTAAAGAAGATCGAGTATCTGTAATGAATAAAATGAAAAAAATTCTCTATGCACCAGATTTTTTAAAAATGGACCATTATTATCATGAATTTAAGCATGAATTTTATAATTCATACCCATTATTACAAAGGCACTTTGAGCTTTTGTGGGGTCGTCGCTGTTTTTGGGCTCTTGCATTTCGTACAAATTTGCTCATTTGGGGAAATAACACTAACAATTATTTCGAGTGTGCTTCGGAATACTGAAAGATATTGTTTTCGCGAGAACACAAGCATATAATCCTGTGCAAGTGTTTCAGTATATAATATTTAATATGGAAAATTTTTATCACCGACGATTGCTTAGTTTTGCACATAGACGTTCAGATTATTTTCAAGTTACAAAACGATTTATGTGTTCTGGTTGGGAGACAGTTGATATGAACTTTATTCAACAAACTAGTGTAGAAAATAAATTTTCAGTATTAAGCACGAGCCAATATAATCTTTTTTATATCATTAATAGTGAAATTGGGACATGTACATGTTCAGTTGGCATGAACAGGGCACCCTGCAAGCATCAGAGAGCGGTCGCAATGAAGTTTTATATTCGAATATTAAATTTTTTCCCATCATTAACTCCTGATGACCATATGGTCTTTACATATATTGCATTTGGTGAGATAAATTACAATTGAAATAGCATCATAAATATTATAACTAAGAAATTTTTATATTAATTTATTAGGTCAAGTTGCAAAAAACAACTCTTTTTATGCCTCACTGCATATGGAACCTATCGATATACAAGAACATCCACAAGCAGAACCGTCTAATCAGCATTTATCAGAATCTTCAAATAGTGAACAGAGGTTAGTATTTACTTTTAAATTATAAATATTAAAGTAAAACATGAAACTTAACTATATAATTCTTTAAAGTGAATTAAACCAAATAGAAATCAATATGAGTGAAAAAATTGATATGAACAAAGAAATCGATAATACTACGCTTAATGCTTTCATAGAAAAAATTAGAAATGATTATCAAAATGGTGGTTCGCAGTTTTGTGCCGCATTGGACAAATTTACTAGACAGTACCATACATCAAAAGCAACATCATTTGCCCGGCTATCTTCTTTTCTTTATAACAGTAATGCAGATCCAACCCGTATTAAAAGCGGTGCTATGATACGTGTTCAAGTTGAATCTACCAAACGTCGCAATTCTGAAAGTTCTGGTGGCACTAGACGAAAACCGCATGCTAAAGCAAGAAAAGGTAAAGAAAATCTTGATCCTCAAGCAATTCCAAGTCGGAAGAAAAGAAAACACAATAAAAAAGAGCATAATCTGGGCAAAAATGTTTTAAACAATCTATTAAATTGATTTATTGTATTAATTAAAAAAAATAAATAAATTTTTACTTTAATAATTTGTTATTTCAATATTTTTTAATAATAATACAAAAGTTTAACGCTTTTAAATTTAATAATTGATAACAGCTTTCCTTTATAATTCGTTAAATAAATATGAAATTATTTAATAATCGATAAACAACTTTCTTTTATAATTCGTTAAATATGAAATTATCGTTATCGTTATTTTTACGGTATCGGTATTGCTGTATTGACAAAGATCGTAAATTTAGAAATTCTCACGTGATACGTCGGATCTTTGTGGCTTATGCGCCACCAACCTGGCACACATTGAAGAACTGCTTCCCACTTGTCCATTCTTGTGATGTTTTCTGAGGATCACATGCTTGACACCAACCATAAGATGTGTTATATCGGTTGCAATTGGCACATATTCCATGATATTCAGATCGTTTAGAATAAAATTTATCAAATACTAGCATATATTCATTTGTGGCGGTGTTTTGAGTTAATCCATAAACACTTTTACGCTTTAATTGACTCTCTAATTGCACCTGAGTTTTAAACTTGTAAAATAAAATATATAAATATAAGTTTACAAGTTATTAATAAAATAAACTACCCATAATAAAATAATGTAATCTCACTTCTTTTAAAATATCCTGAATATGTGAACTAGCTAATGTTTTAAGTGTAATTACGCATGGTGGTGTACGCAACTGTTTATAAAGAAATTCATTAATACTTGTAGATCTCGATTTATTTACATATCGTATTCCATCTAACCAGGTTGCTAAAAATCCATCTTCGTTTGTTTGAATATTAACCAATCTATTAAAAGGAATCCATTCAATTACGTCTTCGTATTTCGTAGCTTTAAATTGAAATTCCTTAATACAATCATCAATATCTTTATTTCCACTTGTCCATCCTTGTGATGTCTTTTGAGGATCACATGTTTGACACCATGCCACAGAAGTGTTACATCAGTTGCAATTTGCACACATTCCTTTAGATTCAGTTCCAAGATCATACTTATTACGATGATTCATAATTCTAAGATGATTTATTGTTACTTGCGGAGAGATCAATTATCGTTGTGCATATATATAATGAGGCATATTACACAAACATTTACTTATAAGGAATCGTAAATCGAAAAGCTGGTGGGAAGGCTCAATGACAGATTCGATTGTCACGGCGAACAGCGGAGGACCCGCCAACGATCATCGGTGCGACAAACAATGTTATCACGCCTTAGCCGAATTGATTGACTCAAATCGGATTACCAAATCAGGGCATATCATACCTTATATTATGTAGTATAATAATATAAAGTCTAATTAAAGTATACTCTACGTAAAGTTCAATCATAAACCGTTACTGATTTATTTAGCAAAATAACA